GATGCTGCCAGCAGCACAAGGACCAGGGCAGCCCTCAGCCCAACCCCTTTCATGGCAGCAGGGTACTGTCCCTTAGCTCAGCTCCATTCCTCAGCTGCCCCCAGTCTCAGCTGGTAAGGGGGGCAGTCCTGTTTACCCAGTACATACTTGTATCCACCCACCCCAACAGGTGAGGGAGGCCTGAAGTTGGCCACCGGGATATTTGCCCAGTGCTGTGGCTTCTCTTCAGAATTGGCCTGGCTGCAGGGGAGTCTCCTGGGACAAGAGGGAAATTGAGGCTGCAGGATGCCTGCACCCACCATCCCGGTTGACAAGACCACTAGGCACCTGCCTGCACTGGGGTGACCCTTGATCCCTCTGCCTTCCTTGGACATGGCCTCAGCCCCACTGCTCAGCCTCCAGAGCCCCAAAGGGCTCCAGCCAGGGAGATGTGCCTTGTGCCCCTGTCCTGCAGCCAGCCAGGCATATGAGGCAGTCAGCCCCTGCCCCAGCCTCACACCGGAGGCAGGAGGTTACTGCCTCCACCACCTCCCTGGTCACTAGAGGAAAATATAAAAAATTATTAGAAAGTAAGAGTGTGTATATATATATATATAATCCCATATATATATTCATACACAAAAATATATTAGAAGACTCAGAGCATGACTGCTGAGCATGCTGCCATGGGAATAAACTTTTTCAATTATGACATTTTACTGCAAAACTTAAAATGCATAAATAAATCTCCATCTCCCACAGCCCAAGTTTTATCTGTAGCCCTCTGTATTCTGTGTCATTAGCATCTTTCCAGGGAGTGTTCAGACATGCATGGCCATTGTACTCATTGCTCTAAGTGTTTTCTCTAGAAGACAAGTAAATCCTCTGCATCCCACTGCTGTCTGTCTGAGCTCTACAGCTCACCCTGCACGGACCAGTACTCATCCCATTGCAAACACACCCACACAAACACGGTCCCACAGCTCTTGAGGTGCTACATAGCCTCTTCCCCACTGTTGCAGCTGCTACACTGACCCCAGTAACTGCTGGGCCCTCTGCATGCCAGTACCCCCACACACCCTGGTCTTGAAACGCCCAGCACAGCCCAGACACCCTCACCATCAATGACAAGTCCAACTTTTCCCCAAAATTTCCATGAGAAGGGGTTTATGAGCCCACAGCCAACAGAAGCCATACGAGCTCCCATGCTGGTGGGGTGTACAGCCTGCAGCAAGGTCTGGGGTCCAGCAACTTTATCATGCTGGCGGGCGTCATAGTCTGATGCACTGGCCTCCCAGGCTCCCTGGCTAGGGGGAAGCTGCAGCTGGCTGGCAGGGACCCAGGCCATGGCTGTTCCCAGCTGCACAGGAGCCAGGGTCACATTCCTGGGATAGCTGGCAGCTTTGCTGTTCTCACAGGGAAAGGTCAGCCTTGTGCACACAGGCAGCTGGTGGGACCACCAACTGGGTAGGGCAAGGGAAGCAGCAGCCACAGCAGGCAGAGGAAGCCCAGGAACGCCTGTCAGAGCTGAGATGCTCCCTGGCTCTAGCCCAGCAGGATCCAGTCATAGCACAGGGGAAGGGCAGCTGCACACAGCTCTCAGCAGGGGCCAAACAAGGCTACAGCAGGACAGAATATGCAAACTCCAGTAAAGCATGGAGAGATGGTGGCAGAGACACACCATTTTTCTGTGAGCACCTGCAGGACAGCAAGGCCAAGGCCACAGAGCTGTCAGAGTGACCTGAGACTGGGACAGCTTTCACTGGGATGAATGAAGAGCCAGCTGAGGACAAGAGATTTATTGGTCATTCTCTATATGCAATTATATATTAATCTGTAGTAGAAAGCAGCAGTCACTAAGTGCACAGAGCAGCACCAACTCCTGCCCCTTCTCACACTGGAGACCTGGGCACAGAGCCCAGCACAAACACACCCTCTTGCCTCCTCTGTGCTGCAGCCAAATACAGGGGTAAAAGACTAAACCTGCAGGCAGTGAGGATGAGGAGCACAGGAGAGACTTGCAGGGTCTCAGCTGAGCCAGGGCCAAAGACCACAGCTCCTGAGGATGCAGGTAGAGCTCCGACTTGATCCTAAAAATACAGTCACTTATAGCACAGGGCTGGGAAAGGTAATGACAGAGCCCTGAGGTTGTTCCACCCCACACAGGAGGTGAAGGCAGGACCACGACTAGGAAAGATGGTTCCTCCATCACTGAGCCAGGCCACAGGGCCTGGGCAAGTATGTGACAGGGCACAGCAAGTGCCAGAGAGCAACCAGAGCTTGGAGCTGCTGCAGAAATGGGGCAAAGCCATGGGCAGTGCTCCCCTGCAGGGACCCAGGCCAGTGCATAGTAAGGAGGGCTGGCCAGGCCCCAACCTGGTGCTGGCAGGAGGAACAGCGAGTGCAAGTGGCCTCTGGGAGGGGAATGTCATGCTGGGATCCAAACAGTCCAGGGTCCCAGTGGCAAGGGTGCCCACCCGCTGTCCCAGGTGTCAGGCAGTGCAGAACACAGGAGCTGGCTGGGCCTGTTCCATCACTTGATGAGCACCTGGTTGCACAGAGCACACACAAACACGGTCTCCCTCTGAGCTTCCGGAGCTAGAAAAGAAAGCAGATGTCAGAGAGGCTCCCCCTTTCCCACCACAGCCTAGGGACCCCAGCAACAGAGCTGTTCTGAGAGCTGCAAAGCCATCACTGCTCTGTCCTGAGCCAGGCTGTGCTGGGCAGGTCCAGTCTACCCTCACCACCGGGGCTGGGGCAAATCCCTGAGCAGACAACACAAGTGGGAGCAGAAGCTCTGCCCTCCTTCACCTTTCCACGCACCTGTGGCTCCCATCACAGCCCGGGGGACTTTGAAGGAACAACACCTGGAGCAGAAGCTGTTCCCACAGTTACTGCAGCTCCGCTGTGGAGAGAGATGAAAGTAGTCCCTGTTAAGTATCAGACTAACCCAGGAGTAAGGGAAGGGGGTCATGAGTCTGCAGAAGGGGAAGTAGCAGGAAAACAACAATGTGAGCCTGAAGGGAACAGGAGATATATCCCTCCCACAACTGCCCAGCGCCTGTATGCTAAGCATCACACACAGGGGCTCAGATACGGCAACAGAGTGGCCTTTGCCTCTGTTTTTTCCACAAGCAGACCCATGCTCTGTTTCACCAGAAGGCCACAGAAAATGGACTAAATCAGGACACAGAGATGCTACAACAGCATATGTGGATTTGGCCTGAGGCAGCTTCCAAAGGAGTAAATGAACAAATGCTCCACAGCACAAGGGATCCCTGGCACCATTAGGCATGCAACAACACCCAGCACTTAGCTGAGGTCATCCCGAGGCCAGAGGAAGCCAAGGCAAGCCAGACATAAGCAACACCTCTGCCCTAGGTGCAGACAGCAAGCTGGGGTAGAAGTCGAAAACTCACCCTCTTTTTGAGGACAGAGAAGGTGGCCGCACAGCCTGTGCAGCTCCCTAGAAGAAAGACAGGAGAGGTCAGACAGGGCTCTGCTGCCTGCAGCTGTAGGTGGTACAGGAACACCCACAGCTGCTGTACAGGTTCAGCTCAGAGACAACATTATTGCATCTTCCCATCCTTGCCCTTCCTAGGAGACCTTGAACGTCCTCCCCATGGAGAGAGGGAGGTCACTGGAGGTGTCAGCACAGCCCTGGCAGGTACCACACCACTCTGTCCACCACCTCTGCTGAGCATTCCCACACAGCACCTGTTCCCAAACTTACCGAAGTTGTTGCTGGGGTAGCGCTTGCGCAGGCGCTCGGTCAGGCGTGATACCTTGCTGCGGATCACCTCGTTTTTGCTCATAAAACCATTGTCTGGGAGGCTGAGGTCAAAATCTGCTGAGCACTGAGAGCTCTCATCATCATCCTGCAGAAAGCAGAGCCAGCTGAGCATGGAGGGGTGGCTGGGGCATGTCAACCCCAGAGATGGACACCCAACAAGCAGGATGCTTCATGTGTCATTGCCACAAGCCACCAGCAAACCAGGCAAAGGCTGCAGCTCCAGCTAGGAGGAGATACTCCTCTTGCAAACCTTGGCATAGCAGTACTCACCATGACCAGCAGCTGGTTCTCCTTATCCCGCAGCATGGAACAGAGAGGAGAGGTAGGACAGATGGAGTCAGAGGCACCCAGCCCCACAGTCACCCTTCCTGAGCACCCAGCTTGCCCACCAAGGCCTTCACCTCTTTCCCACCTCAGCTGCCCTGCAGGCACAGCCCACCCCCACCAGACTCAAACCTCAATGGCATCTTTGAACTCTTCATCAGGCTCTGCCTCCTCTGCCTCCTCCACGCTGCCAGGGGTAAGGTCCTGCAAGGGATTCACAGAGCTAGTCCTACTGTCCCCCTGCTTCTGTTAAAACATAGGCCCACATTTCTGCAGCAGATTCCAGGACAATAGGTCCTTGGTGCCCCATGAGAAGACAGAAGTCCCAGAAGATGAGGTGAGCCCCTGCCTCCCCAGGCCACATCCTTACATGGAGCAAAAGAATCAAGCCAAGCTCCCAGGGCAGCCTCCAAGTAACTCAGGGGTGGCTCACAGACTTCCAGCAAAGCTGGCAGCTGGAAGAAGCTTGTGGGTAGAGGGACACAGACCCAAGGGCTGACTGTGCAGCTCCCACACCACAACTGCCTGCCCTGCCCAGCCCCTATCTCACCTCTGCGCTGGTGGGTGTGGGAGTCCGATCTGGTATGGCAGCAGCTGGCAGGAGTTCAACAGGCTCTGGAGTACTCTCAAGGGGTTTGGTGCCCACACAGTGCTCGATCGAGGCCTTGAGCTCCATTATCACTGGCAAGAGGCAAATGCAGCTGGAATAATGTGGCACTTCTCCCAGCCCCACCACACAAAAGCCATCTGCAAGAGCTCATCTCCAGGGCTCATGATGGAACATTGGTACACACCACTTTTATCAACCAGGTATCCCTGAGCCCTTCTCTGCTCACACATCAAAGTTAGGGCAGCAAGAAAACCTGCACCACCTGCCCCAGCTCAGGTCAGGGAAGAGCAGAGGCCTTAGTCACAGCTCAGACACATCCAACACTCCTCCAGCACATGCCATGGAACAGGGAGTGCCTCCAGCTCTTCTCTCTTCCAACGGCATGTTTTCAAGCCTGTGACACATATTGCCACAGGCACCAAATGTGTTTCAGGTCCTGAAGAGCAGGGTCAGGGACCAAGAGAGGTGGTGATGCTCACACTCGGGCTGCATTTGCCAGGCCTTGGTTTGCTACCCAGCACAGAGTAGAGCAGGAAACAGCACCCAGGCCAGGACACATATCAGGAGAGACTCACCTTCCACAGCTGAGCCCTGGGACCACAGCACCCACCCTGGGCTGCTGAGCACCATCCTTAGGACATTGCTGCCCTTGGGATGGTTCAGGTCCCACAGCAGAGCCTGACACAGGGCACTGGCCTCATGTGAGGGCATTGGGAGAGGTCCAGGGCAGGATCCCTGGCTTCAAAGGGCCTTTCTGCAACCCATCCCACACAAGATGCTTCCAGGAAGCCCCATACCTTGGTAGAACTGGGTGTTGCCCAGGAAGAGGGTGCTGTTGAGGATGGCCAGGACCCAGCAGAGTGGCAGCAAATAAAGGACACAGACAGTGCCTAGCAGCACCCCATAAAACCTGTAAAAAGCAGCAGTATACTGCAGTCAGAATAGAGCATCTCACACCACAGCATAACAACTCTTTATCTGGTACTCCACCTGCTCTCTCCAAGTACCAAACACAGCTCCACAGGCCTGTCTGGGACCCTCTCCTCACCAAGCCCACCACAGGGTTTTGGACCCAATATTACTCACTGGGAAGAGATAGTGGGGTTCTCCCAGTACAGCACACGGTACACCACCTCACAGTTGCGGCACATCCTGCTCAGAAACCCCTCCAGCTGGATCAGGCTGTGAACAAGCCCTCACAGTCATGAGAAAAGCCCCACGAATACACACCCTGCTCCCCCACACTTATAGGGGTTACAGCCACGGAGGAGCCTTCCTGGCTGCAGAGGTCACAGCAGCCTCACAGTCGGGACGGGCCCAGAGACTCACAAGCTCTTAACCTGGGCGATGGCCTCCTGCCGCGAGAGCTGCACCCTGCGCAGGTCCTCCCTGCGGACGCTGTGGTACCTCCTGCGCACCAGCTCCGGCTCCGAGGGCCGGGTCCGGCACGTCTCCTGCAGGTAGCCCATCAGGGCCGGCACCGCGACCAACAAGGCGAGCACCGAGTACCAGGCAGCTGGAAGAGGGGAACAGCGTCAGCCCGGAGGGTCTGGAGAGAGCACC